GCCTTCTCACACGTCAATCTCTGACGTGCCTGCGTGCTTGCTTGCCTGACTGCTTTGGTGCTTTCGAACTGTTTTTCGACTTAGATACCCATATTTAGATATATATATATATATAGATATATATACTTCTTCTTATTGTTAAACGGCCGATGGAAATGCACTTCTAGTGGATATGCTCATGGTCCTTTCTTTCTTCCCCTTTCGTATATAGCTCTCGAGGTTGCTTTGGCTATCAGTAATCCTTTCTTCGCATGGCCCTTCATCCATTCTCTCCTCCATTGCCACCTCTTCTCTGCCCCCCCCCCCCCCCCCCCCAAAACACATCTACAACTCGTCTCTGACCCTCTCCCCAGTGCCCGTCGCTCCCGTCCCATCCTTGATCCTCACCTCGCTCTCCCTCCCCATGTCCACCAGTCCCCTCTTCACCATACTCGTCAAGATCTCATACGCAACCTGCGCGGCCGCCAACGCAGTCTGCTCGCCCGCCCCGTCATACGCGGGCGCCACCTCGACGATATCCGCGCCCACGACGTTCAGGCCCTCGACGCCCCGCAAGATGCGGATGAGCTCTCTGCTCGTCCACCCACCTGCCTCGGGCGTCCCGGTGCCCGGCGCCAGGCCGGGGTCCAACACGTCGATGTCGACAGACAGGTAGACGGGCGCGTCGGTCCCGACGCGGGCCACGATGGCGGCGACGACGCCCTGGGTCCCCAGCTCGTCGATGTCGTCGGCCGAGATGCGCAGGAAGCCCTGGCTCGTGTCGTCCTCGTAGTCGGCCCAGTCGGCGCCGGACAGGCGGGTGCGCAGCCCGGCGTGCACGCTCGATCCGTTGGCGATCAGGCCCTCGCGGGAGGCGAGCCAGAACATCGAGCCGTGGTTGAAGTCGGACTGCGGGCTCGGCCACGGGCTGGGGTACTTGGCTGGGTGCCACGTGTCGAGGTGGGCGTCGAAGTGCAGCACTGCGATCGGCTGGCCGTGGACCCGGTTCAGGCCTCGCAGAGCGGCGAGGGCCAGAGAGTGGTCGCCGCCGAGAGAGATGATCTTGGGGAATCGCAGGCTGGGGGAGAGGGCGGGGCGATGCCCGAGTTCGAGGTAGGCGGCTGTCATCTGGGTCAAGGCCATGGCGTTGTCGACGGGTGTCACTGGGATGTCGCCGCAGTCGAGGATGGTGGCCCATGATGAGTACGGGTTGATGGAGGCGCGGGCGTTGAAGCCGCGGAAGGATGTCTGGCGGGAAGAGGCGGCGCGGATGGCGCGGGGCCCGAACCGCGCTCCTGTTTTCTCCTGTCAGCACGACCTCTGGCGGTTTCTCATGGGAAAGAATCCTGTTGACGGGTACAGAGAGAGGGGGAGAAGGAATGAGTGGTGAAGACGTACCTGGTCTGTAGCTGACGGCTGTATCAAACGGCACACCGAGGATGCCGATATCGAACCGCGTTTCTGGCTTCGTGAGACACTTGACGTGCTCTAGATGGGCGAAAGAGTTGACGCCGTTGAATCCCCACTGGAGAAGACAGTTAGAGCCAGAGAGCATCACCGATGTGGAAGCACCCAGCTAGCACTCGCTTAAAACACAACATCCGCATCTCAAGTCAAGAGACACAAGTAGAAGAAGAAAAAAATCACGAGTTGAAAAACAGCGAACGAGCCAAGACAACAGAAGCAGAGAGAAACGTGAATGAATCCAGCTAGATGCAAAAGATGGCAGCGAAGAACGAAAGAAGATATGGAGGGGGAAGGAAAAGAGAAGAAGAAAAAAACACACCTCAAACCCCCACTTCCTCTCCAACTCCTCTTTCCCATCCGGCACAAACCCCCCCTCCTCCCCCATCTTCTTCGCCTCGGCGCCCTCTCCTGCTCTCATCTCACGGGCGCGTACCAGCGGCCCGAGACGCAGAGCGAAGAAAGCAAGGGCGAGTTGGATCTTCATCTTCATCTTCTTTTTGTTTTCCCCTCTCTCTCCTCTCTTTCCCCTTTTCCGTCTCTTCCTCTTCTCTATTATCTCTCTTCTCCCTCTCTTCTCCCTCTTCAAAACCAAACAACACCAGAAGCCCCCCAAAAAAAGCAAAAACAACAAGAAAAAAGAGACACAAAGCCAGTTCAGAAAGAACCGTTAAAGCGCAGCAAGTGAGCCTCACCCCGTCTGCGTCCGAAGTTCGAATTCCTATGGTATGATGTACCTATGGATGTATGTAGAGTAGACCGCTAGACGCAACGGAATCGAAGATCGGGTCACCAGCTAGTTTGCCGCCGCCTACTCTTGTGCGGAATCCAAATCGAAATGTTAGGTCAGGGAGGGTAAGGTCTGCTGCGTCGGTTTACTTTCTTTTTCTTCCGATGTAGGTACCGGTAGGAGATGCGCGAGGATGAGGACGAGGACGAGGACCCGCGTAGGGTATTGGAATGGAAAGTGGGGTGAAATATTTGTGTGTGTGTACCGGTATAATAACAGCGACAACTCCCACTTATACAGTAGATACAGAGACACATTCACCCTTACTGAAAGACTTGGCCGGTCCGTATACGGTATCTAAGGCTCACCGCTGGACAAAAAAACATACCGCTGATTGTGTAAGTGTTGTTGCTGGCCTGGTTGCTGCAGGTGTGTGTGGTGTGTGTATACCTATGTATGTGTGAATGGGTGGAAGGGTGGGTAGATGGATGGGTTTCAGCTTTCGTGTATGCATGCAGGAGAATAGAAAGGAGAGGAAGGAAGAGCAAGAGGAAGAGGAAGAGAAAGATGAAGAGGAATAGAAAGAGAAAGAGGAATGGAAAGAGGAAGAGGAAGAAGGAAGCAGTTTGGACATGCCACCGATCGATATTTGCAGTGGCATCACTATACAAGGAGTTCCTCCTCTTCTTTCAGGGACCAACCACCGCATAGTGGAAGCATAAAGTTCAAACGAGACCAGACAGCGATAGACACATGCATGCAGGCACGCACAGCGTCAGGTTTGAGACAGTCTTGGAAGATAAAATGGAAAAGAGAATTGCATCATTGCCATTCTCGGCTTCCAATACCCCGATTCATCTGTTTCCATTCTCTTAGTATCTACCCGCTCACGCTCTCGCTAGGTACCTTGTTCGCTTGTCCCTTGCCCACTCCAAAAAGCCGAACTGGCTTGTCCAACAAAAAACAAAATAAAGGCAAACGCTAAGCACCTGCACCAGGTCCAATCCTCAAGGCGCCAATAGAGAAGTATGTCGTCCGAAATAGCAAAGTCCCTCACGGTCGACGCATATCCAGCTCTCACCCGGGAGTGCAATTGACTTGGGAAGAAGAAGATGATGATGACCGACTCCCTGCTCTCCCTTCGCTCGCTCGCTTGCACGGTGGCTCAATAGATCGAGAAGGGAATGGATGAGCTGGAACGGGAGAGGCTGACAGATAGCTGATAGGTCGTGCTAAAAGGGTATCGGTGTATCTTTACAAGATCAAGCATTTGCTATGCTTTTTCTTTGGGGCTGGGGGTTCGAGCGCGGCGACAATTGCCTGGGCCATGGTGATTAGCCACTCCATTCCTGTTGCATGCATGGAAGATAAGGACTTACCTCGTCAAAGACATCCTTCAGCTTATACTGCGTCAACGCACTGCACTCCACATATTTCACTGCACCCAAATCCTTGGCCATCCTCTCACCATCTTCCCTCTTGACCGGGCTCATCTTCTGCTTCCCTAGCTTCTCCCGTACACTTGCGTCATCTCGCAAATCCGTCTGGGTGCCTACGATGAGGCAAGGAACGCCGGGGCAGTGATGGTGCACCTCGGGGAACCATTTCTCGCGGACGTTTTCGAAAGACGCGGGCGAGGTAACAGAGAAGCAGACGAGGAAGACATCCGTTTGCGGGTAAGATAAGGGACGTAGGCGGTCGTAATCTTCTTGTCCAGCCGTATCGAAGAGGCCTAAGGTGTATGGCTCATCGCCAATCCTAGGAACCTATCGTTAGCATTCGAAAGAGGGGTTTCGGTGGTTGCTTGACAGCGGGTGTAACAGGAGACTTGACTCGACTTACATAACAGTAACGGCATAGTTATCGAAAACGGTCGGCACGTATTCAGAAGGGAACTTGTTTGTCGTATAGCTGATGAGAAGACATGTCTTGCCCACGGCACCGTCACCAACTACTACACACCTGCGGATTCATTAGCTATTATCCTGCTAGCTTTCCCATAGCTTTCAAATCATCCGTCCTGTTGTGAAGCTGGCCCGAAGGCGTCCTGGGCTTCGCAGATCTGGAGGGGATACACACTTTATTGTTGCGACGACCATTGTTTCGCTGTATGCCCTTCCTGCCGACTTGCGATTCCCAGATCAACGATAAGAGAGAGAGTGCACAGCACGGCCGGCCCACTAGTCTTTTTTCGTCGGTACTGTCAGGGCTCTGGCCCTGATATCTGCGGGAGGTGGTATCGCGCGTTGATCGATTGGTCGTGGGGTCTCGATAGGTAGGTTTAGGTCGGTAGGTTGGTAGGTTGGTAGGTTGGTAGGTTGGTAAATCAGTCGGTTGAGGCTTGGAAGTTGGAATGTTATATTTTTTGTTGTCGGAGCGATCTAATGAGCCGAGCGATAGGGAGGTGGGTAGGTGGGTTTGGTGGGTTAGGTGGGTTAGGTGGGTTTGGTGGGTAGGTGGGTAGGTGAGTAGGTGAGTAGGTGAGTAGGTGAGTAGATACTACTAGCTAACCTGAGCTGACCCAGGAGCTCAGCCAGCGGGCTGACAGCGGCTAAGTAGAAAGATGCAGTGACCCAATAGCACAGGGATTTTGAAACTGGCCGTGGTGGTGGAAGGAACAGATGAAGGGGGATTGGGGGGAAGAAGGGGGAAGGGGGATTGGAGATGGGAGAAGGGGGATGGGGGATGGAGGAAGGAAGAGGTCAATGGATACCAGAGTTCGGGAGATTTGTTGATGTCGATGGTACCGGTAATGTTGGGGTTGATTTCCACACGGATGGGAGGGTGAACCACGGGCGAGGGAGGGGAGGATTCCTGGTCAGTCAGTAAGTACCGGTACGCTATAGTACGGTACCACTCTATAGTACCGGTACCCTCTGTAGCAGCGCGATGGATCAGACAAGGCACGACAGGGCAGGGCAGGGCAGTCGGTCAGTAGTAATATATGTATTGTATGTAATTAATGAGAATGGATTGAATCGGTTGGATGAACGAGATGGTTTGGTTCGGATCCGACTGAACAAAGAGTAGTGGGAGCATACCGGTACCGTACCGTACCATACTCACTTCGACTCTACGCATCAATTCAACTCAACTCAACCAAACCCACCCCAATTCCCCATCTCATGACCAGGGCTCCTTGCCCCGGCTTACGTCGTATTACCTACGCATTGCGACTTATATTATAATGCCAACTCGAGACTCCCCGCCGAGTCCATCTCCCAACCTCTACCCTACGCCTATCCTGCAGTCAAGAACAACAACAACAACAACAACAACACCCGCTCTCTCCTCCCTCGAAACAATGGCCTCCTCCTCTCAAGCCCTCTCCGACGAGATCGAGTCCCTCCTCGCAGAATACCTGTCCCTCCTCAACACCTACACCACCCTGCGCGCAGAGCTAACCACTGCACAATCGTCGGTACGACTGTTCTTCCCTCTTCTTCCCCTACAGCCCATCGCGCTCGACCCAGGCTCTTCTCTCCATCCTCTTGACCATGTCAAAGCTTGGGGGCAACTTATCCACCCATGGAAACCTTGCATCCCATACATTCAAGTGAACTTGGCTGACCACATTTGCGAATACTCAGATCTACCAAAACCTCGCCCGGGCCAACTTCCACGCAGAGCGCGGCGTGCGCTACGGTCAGGACTGCTACGATGAGCGCGCCATGCAGCCCGGGTGCACCTGCCGTGTTGCTGCTGAGGAGGGGGGTACACGGCAGGGCTTGGCCTTGGAGATGGTGACGGCCTTGCATGTAGGGGTGGCCACAGACGCATCGGAAGCTGACGACGACGACGACGACGACGATGGAGAGTTGAAAGGAGAGGAGAGACAGAAGGGAGGGAGGGAGAGGGTTTCCGACCCGATTCGCATGTTTGGCTTCACGGTCCCGAATGCGTTGAGGGTAACGCAGGTTGAGGCGCGGAGGATGGTGGAACTTGTGCCGCAGATTTTGAATGTCGATGCGAAGATGAAGGAGGTTGAGATTGACATTCGGAGGGCGAAAAAGAGGAGGGGAAAGCTGGAGGGGGAGAGTAAGAAGATTTCTGTGGAGGCCGGGTTAGGAGGGAGAGAGGGGGCGGTGGTCGAGTAGGCGTGAGGATATGGAAAATGCTGGAAACGCATGAGTCCAACCGTTTCGGGACCCAGGGCAACTATCCAGGACTTTCCTCGAAGCTTCTGCTTCTCGCGACGGACAAGCGGCCCCAACAGTGGTCTTGGGAAGAAAGCACATGTCCATTCTTCTCTGACATGGCATTTCTTGATTGGGACAACTCAGAGTTGTACTCTTCGTGCCTCTCGACCTTTTTTCTCTTGCGCCAGCACGCAGGAAAACTGGTTTCAGAGCCTTTTTCTTGGTGCATTATGGCATCTGGCTCGCTCATTAACCACGACCTGAAGAGGAGAAACGAACAGATCTATCTCTATCACTAGGTGGTGGTAGTTCGTCTCACGGCGGAACGTTCCTCGTTGAAACGAGAGGACGAAGCCCATTCCAGACCCTCGCACATAAAGTTACTCGAGCAGTTCCCGCAGCAGGTCACCACCGACCGGCCCGCACGTGGCCGGAAGTTGCATAAGGGGGTACATTGTACATCCATATACGTACTTGTACAAGCTCACTGTGCCTACTCTGAACGTCCTCCGTGTACGGTACGGTGTGCACCCAGTACACGTGTTTTGCATATAAGAAAGAGGAAACCAAGGTAGGTTTTTTTCGATCCGCTCCCACGAGCTCTGTTCTCGTCTCTGTAATGTACACATTACATATACAGCCGTCTATTAACGAGGATCCTATCTCACCTCCAAGCCGTGTGCTGTTCCCCCCCCCCCCTCTGTCTCTTTCTTTGTATCCATATTTCCTTTTCTTTTCTTCCATTGCTAGAAATCGCAAGCTAGGTAAGTAGATAGGTATAGGTAGGTAGATAGATAGATGCGTATGATGTTGCTCTAGGTAGCTCCGGGTAGCAGTACCAGCGCATCTCATCCTGCATCTGCATCTACATCTGCGTACCGAAAATCACTCGGTACCCCCCTACCTTACCTATCTCTCGACCTGCTGTGCTCTTCTTACGCAACTATGGCGCTACACGGTACACCAAAATACTCAAGTTTCGCAGGTAGGTAGGTATGTATGTTGCTGCTGCTGCTGCTGCTGCTGCTGCTGCTGCTTCTTGGGTTTGGGGGGTCAAGTCCACCCAGATCCCATCCATAGATAGGTAGGCACAGATCGACGACTAGGTCATCTCCCCACCTGGCGCCGGTTGTACCTGATCTTACACCTCGTCAGGTACCTAGCTAGCTAGGTGAGGGCTAAGTCTCCTTCCGGCTCGCACCGACGACAGTCTGCCCAACCTGTCTGTTCACAATGAACGCCGACTGGCGCGGACAGCTTGTGAGTAGTAAGGAAAGCGGTAAGCAGAAGGAGTAAGTAGGTGAGTGAGTGCGTAAATAACTAAGTAAGTAAACAACTGAGTAAGTTCAAGAGGAAAGCACCACGTTCCCTTCCATCATTATTCTCCTCTCTCGACTAGCTGATTGTCTATCTATCTATTTATCTATCTATCTGTTTATCTGTCGACGGCGGTTGTGATTGGTGCGCATTCGATGTGCTATCCGTTCAGTGGAGTGAGGTGTGTAGGTGTAGATAGAGGGCGCAGAACAAGAAGGGAAAGAACACGAGGAGTTTCGATTGTGCGAAATTAAAAGGAAATACGAAGACCAATACAAACACTAAATACCAGACAGACAGACAGACCCTTTTGATGTTCCTCGCTCGCTTCCTCCACTCACCCTTGGTGCATTAAGCGAGAAAACAGAAAGTTGACCTGGGAACCCGAGTGCGTATCAAAAAGTTGCTGTAAAATCCTCTTTGTGAGGCAAGTCCCAACATGGGAGTGCGTAGCATGTAAGCAAGCAAGCAGGCGATTAGATAGCACGTTCGTTCGAGCAAGTACTATATCCAGCCGTGATCCTCTCCTAAACGCCCACGCCATCTCCACTCCATCCTTTTGCCGCAATCCGAAGCGCGGCCACAACAAACCGTAACAACCAAAACCGTTCGGCACGCAACACTCAATACTCGAAGTCGTCGTCCACCGCCGGTCCCTTGCTCTTCGTAACGCTCTCCTGCTTCCGATACATCTCCACGACCTGCCTACTCCCCGTCGCCTCATCCGGCTTCTTATCATCTCGGACCTTGATGAATCTCGGGAACCGGAGCGAGATACCCTTGTCCCCGCCCCCCTCCAAGCCCTCGTTGCATCCAGCCTTGTACCGGGGACTCAGAGTCAAATCCGCCGTCTTCACCTCCCAAACATATTTTGGCTCGAACCAGACATCGGGTTGATGCGTGTTGCCCGCAGAGTGTGAGTAGAACGGCTTAGGGCGATCGATGATGAGGGGCGAGAGCTCGGCGTGGAGGGTCTCCAGAACGGCCTCTGAGAAACCAGTGCCGATGTTGCAGATGGTTTCGTAGGTGTCAGATGTGCTGTTGTAGGAAGCGAGGAGGAAAGCACCATAGACGGAGGTGCGTTTACCTTTGCCGTGGTAGGCCCCGAGGACTACCAAATCGAGAGAGTCGCCAACGCCGGAGAGATAGTCTTTCTTGATCTGGGGGGGTGTTAACTTGGATTCGTATTGTAGATGGGAACGGGAAATTTACCTTGAGCCAGTTTCTACTGCGCTTGCTGGGTTCGTAGCCACTTTCTGCGCCATCCAACATCTTGACCATAAGTCCTTCGCAGGAAGCTTTCATACTCTCGTCGAGGAAGATTTGGATTTCCTCGATTTCCTGGCCGTTCATGCTGGTAGCAAAAGAGAATTCTCCCTCTACTGGGGTAAAAGACTCATGAAGGAGCTCGCGACGTTCGCGCAAAGATTTGCCAACAACAGCTTCTCCGTTCAAGAAGAGTAAGTCAAAGGCAAAGACGCAGACTTTGACTTTCACATCCTCAATCTTGACATCCTTCTTCTTGCGAGTCATAAGCTGTTGAAAAGGGAGAACTTTCTTCTCTTCAAGGTCCCAAGCAACAGTTTCGCAGTCCATGACGAAGCTTTTGGTGTCTGGCTTGACCCAGGTATTGAGTTTAGCCAGGATATCGGGGTACTTCTTGGAAAGATCTTCAGAATTACGAGAGAAGATTGCTGCGAGTCCACCATGTGCAGTCTTTGTTGCTGATTCGGCTGAGCCACGATATTGTTGTGCGGAGTCCTTGGCCACATAATGGATCTGAGCCCTCTCTCCATCGTACTTGTACTCGCATGTGAAAGTCTGGTTCTCAAAACGATCCAGGACTTCTGTAATGGCTTTAGTTGGCTTTGCCAACATGGGCTTTAGAGGCACACCAGGTTGGAGCTTGCAATTGTCTCGAAGGTTGAAAATGCCATGCTCCAACATCGCTGGAATGATGACATCGTAGCTGGGAAGTTCACTAAAAATGTCAGTTTAGTATACTGCTGATCGGCTAAGAACTCTTACCTGTGGACCGCCTTCAGTATCGCCTCTCCCTTGGCCAGCTGCTCCGTAGTTGGAACCTTTCCAGAGCCTTTGGCTTCTGTCTCATGACAAACCATAGCTTGAGCAAGAGAAACAAGGACAGTCTTCTCAGCAAGACCGAGACGGAGCTTGCCCTCAAGAAATCGAACGATGAACTTTGCTTCACTCGGCCCTCCCTTGTCTTTTGTGATATCAACCTTTCCAGGCTTTGCGACATCGGCTGCAGCGAGAAGCTTTCCAATCAAGTCAACCTTCCGGCCCTGAGCACCATTACCAGAAGTGGTAGCAACATCCATCAAGCCCTTATGAACAGCTCGAATTGTCAATGGTCTCGGCTTGAACATGACTGGTTGGTTAGCTCTGCTCTTGACAGCAACCAAACCAAGATCGCCAATCTCTCGTTGATCTTGCTTAATTTGAGCCAGATTTCGACCCGTCGTACTACCGATGGCCTTCATGATAAGGGACTCGCCAATTCCCAGCTCGATGCCGGCATAATCGGCAGCCAATTTGTTAATCATGAGAAGCACGGTCGGTAACATGTCATCAGGTGTCAATCTGAGAACTTGTCGGAGGAACAAGGAGCAGTGCGCAGCTATGACCAGTCTCTTGGAAGTCATCTCAATGAGGGAGAAGGTAGTACAAAGAGCAGCGTAGGGAACCGGCTCTCCAGGCTTCCAGTCTGGATACGGGTCTTTCGTCTTGGCCTTTATAGTAGTTTGGACCTTCTCACGGGCTTTTGCAGCGGCTTCTGGCTTCTCATCATCGTCATCTTCGTCCATCTCTTCCTCCACTTCTGAGACCGAGGATGCATTCGAAGCTCTTCTCTTCAAGCTCGAACCGACTTCTTCGACTTTCTCCTCATCTTCTTCCATCTCCTCCTTGACAGCCTTCTTTTCTTTCTTGGGGCCTGGTGCCGTGCTTTTTTTGGGTGTTGTCTTTCCTTTAACTTTGACCTTGGATTCTGGCTTCGGCTCCGATAGCATAGGCTTATCCTCCACCTCGACTCTGTCGGCGCGGCGAGGCCGCTTTACAACAGGCTCGTCATCTTCTCCTTCATCATCTTCCTCGATAACTTCTTTCTTAACTTCCACCTTATTTTCCGACTCTAGATCTGCAGGAGCTGGAGATCTTGATCGCTTCTTCGTCTCTGCTAGATATCAGTATAAGCACCTCTCATCAACGATGATCGCATACCCTTCTCTGGCTTCACATTCTCCTTGATATCCGCAACTTCCTTCTTCTTGACCTCTTTCTTCACCTTAGGCTTGGCTTCCAGATCCTCGTCCTCGTCTTTCATATCGGTATCCTCATTCTCCTTGACTAAGCTGGAACTTGGAGTGGTGCTTGTGGCTTTGCTGCCAAAGGTGAGTTTGGATTGCTTAGATGGAGCTTTGGTACCGTTGGGATTCCCGAAGAACTTGCTGTTAATATCACGCATTAGCAAAGTCCACCTAGAACACAGCATCTCACACACCCCAAGGTGGTTTGAGGGTCCTTGACATACCCCAGCGTGGACTGCTTGGGAGGCATTGCGAATAACCTAAGAGCCTGTCTCTGCGTAAATAAAGTGCCGAGCAGTCTTCGAGAAGCCACAATTTCTGATCAAAGGATTGGGAATTTCAATGACAGAGTTCATCGGGAGATGTGGAGTGAAGGTTGGTTTTCCTGGAGGCAACAGTCGCCTTGGGTAGATCTTGATTTGAGGAAACGCTGCTTGTATAGGCGATTGTGTATTCTTCTCAAAGTTCAAAAGGACGGCGGTTCCTTGGATGTCGAGAAGTGGGAGAAACAGACAGTCAAATCAAGAATCTAAACAGTCCTGGTTATCAAACACCACATCACCAAGTCTAGTCGCGTCGGCGCGTGGGACGCGTAAATGATTTTAGCTAGAAATAATCGAGGCCCGGATAAATTCACCCCGGGAAGACTCACCGCCTTGACTCACAACCCCTCCCTCCGACTATACCTCCCCCGCCTAAAATCATATCAAACTGATCAGCTACACAACACGCACCCGACTATGGCAGCCGTACAGGAACTCGCAATCCGGGTTAAGATGGAAACCATCTATGTTGATACAGACGTCGGCGTCGACGACGAAACCGCAACTGGCGCAGAATCGAAGCCGTACAAGTCCTTGGCCTATGCTTACATCCAGCACGATGGCAGCGACGGAGGCAGAACATACAAGTCGCGCGCATCTACCACGGGGCCTGTATCTGCAGATGGAGATCCAGCAGAAAGACTTGCCTGGAAGGAGCCCGCAAAGGCTGCACAAAAGAAAGCCCAGGGCGCATTGGATGCTCACAAGAAAAAGCTAGTGAAACAACAACAAGCTGCCGCACAGGAGGAGGAGAAGGAGAAGGCACGCCTAAAGACTCTTGAGGATGCAAAGAAGATTGTCCTTACCGAAGACTCGAGCCTGCCAAAGGCTGTCAAAATTACAATTGGGGATAAGAACATCGAGTTAGGTGAGGGAGAGGTCAAGGGAACTCGAGTCAAGGTTTCCGGGCGGATACACAGATTACGACAACAAAAACAAGCAACCTTTCTCACCCTGATTGATGGATATGGTCACCTCCAATGTGTGCTTACTGGCAACTTGACCAAGACCTATGAAGCTCTTACGTTCGCCCAAGGCACGTCTCTGGCCCTCTGCGGTGAGATGCGCAAGGTCCTTGCTGGCCAAACTGCTCCAGATAACCGCGAGCTTCATGTCGACTTCTACAAGGTTATCGGCGCTAGTCCTTCAGATGCGGATGCTATTACCAACAGAGTCTCGGCTCAACAAGATCAATGGGAGTCAGCCATGCTGGATAGCCGTCATTTGGTGCTTCGGGGAGATACCGCATCGTCTGTTATGAAGGTTCGGTCTGCAGTTGAGTGGGCTTTCGCAAAGGCATACAAAGAGCTGCGGTTCACTAAGATCAGCCCTCCGGCTTTCGTCCAAACCCAAGTAGAGGGTGGATCTACACTTTTCGAACTTGATTACTATGGCGAGAAGACATATCTGACCCAATCCTCCCAACTCTATCTCGAGACCGGTCTTCCCAGTCTTGGAAACGTTTACTGTATTGAAAAGTCGTTCCGTGCAGAGAAGTCTTTGACTCGTCGTCACTTGTCTGAATATACACATGTCGAAGCCGAGCTTGACTTTATCGATTTTGATGATCTGTTGGACCACCTGGAAGAGATGATCAGCAGAGTCATCACCACAATTCTGGACGACAAGGAGATTGCCGGCTATATCAAGGAGCTCAACCCCGAGTTCACGCCTCCGACGAGACCATTCAAGAGAATGAGATACTCTGACGCCATCGACTGGCTCAACGCCCAAGATCCCCCTATCCTCAACGAAGAGGGCAACCCCCACGTCTTCGGGGACGATATCGCTGAGGCTGCCGAGCGCAGAATGACCGATATCATCAACCTACCAATCCTCCTTACCCACTTTCCAGTGGAGATCAAGGCTTTCTACATGAAGAAAGACCCACACGATCCTCGAGTCACCGAGAGTGTTGATGTGTTGATGCCAGGTGTCGGCGAGATTGTCGGAGGATCGATGAGAATGGAGGGGTACGAGGAGTTGATGGATGCGTACAAGAGAGAGGGTATCTCGCCCAAGGAGTACTACTGGTACACCGAGCAGCGAAAGTAAGGCACCATTCCTCTACCCTTCATCAGATGGCCATAGCTAATTCATGCTCAGGTATGGAACTTCTCCCCACGGAGGTTACGGATTGGGTCTCGAGCGATTTATTGCGTGGATCTGCAAGCAACACTCTGTTCGCACGTGCTGCTTGTATCCTCGATTCATGGGCCGCTGCAAGCCTTAAACAGCCTGTTTCCATCTCTGATCTCTCTGATCGGTTGATTCACCTTGAAACTGCTTGCTCGCAGAAGATACACCTAGATAAGCTTCTCGGAATAGCGCACAATGATATCACGTAATGCATTTCTGTTTTTTCTTTTCCCCTCCTCTTCGAACCTTGCTTCAACTCACACGATCATGACCCGTTTCGCCTCTTCTCTCTCTCTTCGTCTCCGTGGTCAAGTAGGGCCTCTCCATTTCTCAGCTCCACATCATCATGACCGATCTCAGCTCACACCCCTTTTCGCCAAGCACCAGCTCCTCCTCGCCCGCTGCTCCGTATCCAATAGTCGCTGCGATCACAGCCACCGTCTCGTTCGGAGCAAGCTACCTTTGTCGCGCTCCGCAACCGCAAGCCCCCTTTCCGCGTGAACACCAGGACCGTCATTAATGCTGGTGAGGACAACAGCCCCCACCTTCGGGGCGGCACCCTTTATAATCTTTCAGGTTACTTTTCAAGGAAAGGATGAAAGATGGAGGCGACGAAGAAGAAGTAGAGGAAAAACGTAAGCGAAAAGGGCAGTTCCTCACTGCCACCTCCTGAGTGAGTCCCGAACCCGGCACGTGAGTGGCTCATTCTCGGTAGCTAGCTAATAGTAATCGTAGCTAGCTAATAGGAGTCCCTAGGCCTAGGCCTCCGTCGCAGAAGGTTTCGGGAATCGGGAGGGAGGGAAAAGGGGGTGGGATGCCAAGATGGCGGCTCCGAGGCAGGGAGGGGGGGGGGGGGGGGGGGG